CCCAGGCTAGAGTGCTGGGACATCAGCTTCGCTCACAGCAACCTTGAACTCCCGGGTTCAAGTGATCTTCCTGGCTCATCCTCCCAAGTAGCTGGGACTATAGCCAGTGTCACAGAGTGAGATTCTGCCTCAAAAAAAAAAAAAAAAAAAAAAAAAAGAAAAAGAAAAAAAAAGAAAAAGGCCTAGAACAGACCCCTCCCAGAAAAGAAGGATGAGCAAGAGTCCAGAGACAGGTGCCCACCGGACAATATCTGAAAGCAAGCATCAGGTGTCAAGGCCAGCCGGAAGGCAAGAAAAAGGGATTTGGGGAACCTATCACTGAGGGACTATACATGTAGGCCCTTCCCTGCCAAGGTCAAGCAGCTCCAGGATTAGCCTGCCCAAGAAGAGGGAGAAAGTACAAGGAACAAGGTAGAAATAAATAAAATGTGTCCTTCCTAACTTGCAAGAGAAAAGGCCACCTCCAGCAGGGGGAGCTCCAGGAAACCTTGCCCTTTCTGATTGGAGGGCAGGCAAGACCACGTGCATGAAAACCACCTGCGGTGGTCAAGAGAATCTGAGTTCCTGGCCTCCCGAGAGACCTCACCCCACCCAGTCATCATACATACTGAAGTCTAAGAGCACCACTCTGCATGATGTCTCCAAAGGATAAGCTCCTTTTCCAAGTAGGCCATGGGCATGACAGACCCAAGCCACCTGAACTCAGAGGGGCCCTTGGCCATTTGACAAGTGACGGGAAAGCCAAGAGCTCCCAACCCCACTCCCCCAGCAGCAAGGTCTTGCCTTGGCCTCCAAGCTTATCAGGACAGAGCTGGACCTCACTCCAGTGCTTTTCCCACTGCCCTGAGGTCTCAAGGGTCAGAGCAGCTAGCCTAAGATCCAGAATAACACAGTGGGGTAGAGAGAAGCAGGAGCCCCAGAACCCAGTGGCAGTGAGTGGACACACTGGCTAGCCCCGACTCACCTCAGCCTTATACATGCGGATGAGGCCCTGATTCACTTTGGACCAGGAGGGGACAGCACTGATGTTCCACAGCTGGTTAGAGTGCTCTGCAAATGGGCCAGTCTTCATCTGAAAGAGAAGAGTCCACAGCTGGAGAGAGAGGGTCTGCTGGGAGCTCATCCCCACTCCTCTGCAGCAAAGTCTCCCTCCCTCCCTCCCTCCCTCCCTCTCCTTCCACACACACACACACACACACACACACACAAATACACTGCACTTGGTGACCCAAGCCAGGCATCTGCCTGTGAGGCCCACACACAAACAGGCACGTATAAGTGCCAGAGACGTTTTCCCATTGGGAAAATGTTATCTTTTGTCCATCCCCTGTCACCCTTCTTTCTCCCACAGCCAAAAAAGGTGCCTGGTTCCTACACCCAAACCTAGTACCATAGGAAAGTAAGATCTGCACCCAAGCCCCTGGTATAGCTCCCCAAAACTCCCAGGAGCCTCTCCAACACAGGGCCTCCTGCCCACAGAGATTAACAGTCCAGTTCATCCCAGCAGCCTGGACCCTGTCTCTCCAGGCTGCACCTCTCCTGTCCTGCCCCCTCAGGGCACTGGGTCTATACCTGCCACAGGCAAAGTAGAAGAGCAGAGGAAAGGGTCAGTCTGGGGGAGGGACAAAGTGATATGGCCAAACCCAGGCACCTGACACCCTCTGAACAGTAGACAGAGCAGAGCAGAAGACAGAGCCTGCTTCATGCTGGCCCTGCAGCAAAGTCAGGAGGAAGGTCTGTGCAGAAAGCAGCCCAGCTTGGCCAGGAGGTGGAGAAGGGGTGGGTTACAGCCACAGCAGTGAGAACAGGCAGGAGCAAGGACAGCTCCACTGCTGACCCCTCCTCTGGTCAAGGAGTCTAACTGGCCAGGAAGCAAAAGAAAAATTCTGCAGCAAGCCCAGTGTTGTTCCCATGACATCAGAAACCACAGCAGTGACAGGGCAGCTGTGCGCCTGAGCACCTCCCTCTGATGCCACAAGGCCAGCACATTTGTATTTATTAACCGAGCAGTGTGCAATCCCCCAAACACAACCCCCCAGCTTGCAGGCAGCATTTATAGAGGAAACAGGGCTCAGCACCCTGGGCCCCAGGCTGCAGAAGGAAGACTCTGAAAAGCAAAGAAGCTGAGTCTGGCAAGGAAGCAGAGACTTGGACCCTGTGTGGGTAGAAGGTTCCAGAAGAAGCTGTGCACAGAGGCATGGGGGTGGGGTCTGAGCTGTTCTAGGGAGGAAGGACAGCCTGACGTGCTCTTCATTTGGGGGCATCATAACAATAAAGGCATTCAGGAACCCATGGGCCCCCAATGTGAGCTGTGGGTGCTGCCTCGTGACCCACTCCTATAGACCTCTTCCTTCTCCAATAAGAGCAACTCTGACAAAAGCTTTAGGATTTAAGTCAAAAAAGGTGTAATTTTATCCGTCACCTCCTTACCCTGACCCACGTTCCCAAAGAGCCAGTCAATATCCAGGCTCAGGAGCCAGAACAACACGTTCCTCCTTCCTGTCCCAGGCTCACCAGCAGCCAGGCCAGAGTCCTGGGCAAGAGAACAGGCCAAACCCAGACTGGTCCCCGTATGGCCAGCCTTTCTTGGGCCACTCCTTTCACCTGGAATCATCCAAGCCTCTATCCTCCAGGGGGGGAGTAGGCACACACAACCCCCTACAGGGGCCCCACCTTTATGGACCCACAGAAGCAGACTCTACCTGACACCGCCCACCTCCCATCATTGGAGCTATGTAACCAGTCTCACTCTCTAGTCAAGGCCAGGGAGCAAACCACCCAGGAGGCACCCTGCTAGCTTTGTGGGACAGCAGCAGCTGCAGGGACCTGCTCAGCAAAGGCTCAGAGGCCAAGGCAGGCAGAGGGACCCTGGGAAACCCGAGACTATCTCCTGGGCCAGCTTCGCCCACCAGGGGCATAGAACAGATCCCCAGAAGGTCCACTGGCAGAGCCAAGGCTAGGCCTGGAGCCTGGGGCCCCCAGCGTTGAAAAGCCCTGGGGTGCTGCTTCTCTTGAGGGGCTGTACGTCCACTCCCCAGGCCTCCAGTGGCCCAAAGTTTCCCTAAGTCCTTCAGAAGGAGACTCTGTAACTCTGGGTAGGGAAAACTGATGAGGGGAAAAATGGAATCCGGAGTGAGAAAACAAAAAAATTAGCTCATTCTAGCCACAAAGGGAGAAGAGAAAGAGCAAGAAGGAGCACGCTCACTGCAGTCCGCAGTGACCCCAGGGGAATCGTGTGAGTCAGAGCAGCCATATTGAGCAGGAAATTACTCACAGACGCTGCGTTCCTGCCTCTCCACTCCCCAGAGGATCGGCCTTTTGTAAATGGTTCCTCTGTCAGTAAC